TATTATTATTATCATTATTATTTTCCAGTTTGATCCGAGAGAGACAGAGAGAGAGAGAGGAAGGGAGCAAGCAAGCCACCAGATCCGAGACTTGAACCATGGTCGGCCATGTGGGAGTCCAGTGCCTTTAACCACCGTACCACTTGCCAGCCCCTAAAATGTTTATTTTCAAACCAGGTACGGAGTGCATGATGTGAACTATCATATATTTTCAATATCATATAGAAAAAAGCATCAGTGTCTACCACTTCAGGTGGTAAGACAACGGATGACTGTTGTGTTCTGTGCGCCCTAAATTTTCTCAAGTAAGCGCATTCATGGGGTCTTCCACAAGTTCATGAAATGCGTATTATGAAAAAGTATGCATAGATTTCAAGATTTTTTTGCACCAACATAAATGTATACTTTAGTCCCATTGCCACATATTTTCTAAGTCCTCTTGTATTATGTTTATAATTAGATTAAAATTATAACACAGAAAGCATTTTATACTCAGCCTGGTCAAGTGAATTGTAAGGGGGCAGCCCAAGACGCCTTTCAATCAAGGGTAAACCTTTCAATACACTGAACCAAGACAAAGAAATCAGAGACAGTGAAAGTAAACACACTGCAAACGAAAAAAATAAAGAAGAGAAGAAGAGAAAAAAGCAAAGGCTTTTCCCTCTGCGGACTTCTCTTCTAGGAACAGTAGCTTTCAAACAAAAACCACAATCCAGGGGAGTAACACAAAAGGAAGGTTCAGGGGAGAGGTTTTTACAGGCTCTACAAACAGCCTGGGGCCTCTAGGCTTAGTATCCCTTGACACAGGCCATCAAAGCCCAGCCGTCTGGGCCAGGTATGCATGACATTTTAATAGAAGGGGAAGGACGTTCACAGGGTGCACGCCCCCATGCCTTGAGCATGTGCAGAAACCACAGGTGTGTGGTTCCATTCTCACCGACTTTGGGTACCTGCCCAGAGGAGGTGTCTGTCCTGTGGAGGGTCAGTGAATAAATGACGGAGTACCCCAGCCGCTCAGACCTGGGGACAACACATTGAGGTGACAACGCGGGTCTGCTGCCCAGTGAGTTTCAGCTGGGCCCATGGGTCAGGGGAACTCAGAGCCCAGGAAGGCAGGGAAATATCTTCACCCAAGGAGCAGAGTGATTGACCAAACTACTCTTAGTGAGGTTTAAAGCATCCTTCCTGGAAACTAGAGAAGCTGGTCCCCTGCAGGAATTTAGCCCAGAAAATAATTTATTGGAAACCTACTATGGGGGCCTGTAGGTGGCGTGGTGGTTAAGGCGCTGAACTCCCACATGGACGACCAAAGTTTGAGTCCCAGATACGGTGGCTTGCTTTATCACTCTCTCTCTCTCTCTGGACAAATTAAATAATAATATTAATTAATTAATTAAAAAGGAAAGAAAACCTATTATGTATCAAGCACCATCCAAAACTTGGGATACAGGCCAGGCAATTATGTGGTGGTTAAGGCGGTTATATCCCACATGGTCACCAATGTGGTTCAAGTCCCAGACCCAGTGGCTTGTAAAACATGCTGGGCATGTGTGCATGGGGACCCAAAATTCAGAAAGGAGGGAGAAAGCACCCCATGGAGGGTGCTTGGTCACTTTCTCCCCCTCCCCAGCCCAGTACACATACCCTCTGGAGAATTAAAAAAAAAAAAGAAAGAAAAAAAAAAGTAGGGGATCAGAATGAAGCCTAAAACTAGTCCCTGTCTTATAGATATATATACTTTTTTTTTTTTTTTTTTTTTTTGGAGAGGTTTTTGCTATAGGGCACATGTGCTTGCCAGGAAGACAGAGAGAGAGAGAGAGAGAGACAGAAAGCAAGAAATCACCCCCCAGGGGGATGGCCACACCACAATCCCTTCTCCTCTCGGGATCTTGGGCATGCACACACATGCACCTGGCGTGAATTTAAGCCACCGGGTCCAGGACTTGAACCGCGGTCAACTACATGGAGTCCAGCGACATAGCCATTACTCTAACTGCTGGTCCCTAAAAATATATTCTTAAGGAAGACTACTAACCAGATCATCAACACTTTGAAGTGTTGATGAAAATTGACAAGACCCCCTTCTGCTAAATTCTCATGCAACTGGTGACCAATCAGTCAAGTTTTCAAAATTACTCCAGTTTATGAATTAGGAAAGTATTGTGTTAAAGACAATGAACTCCGGATTAGAATCAGAGAGAAAGCTGGCCAGCCCCCCTAGCCAGCTGTCTCCTTTCATCCTTTCTTCCCCCTTCTTACACCCTCCAGCCACCAGTGAGGCTGAGGATCCATTCTTCTGCAGCACTATTTTTCTGTTTCGCATCTAGAAATCTGGAACTCCTACCAGAGAGCTCCAAATTTTAGCAGCACAATCTGTGCTATGTCGTGGTCTCTTCTGCCTCTCCCAGGGTGATCTGGAGAGACTGAAACTGCAGAGCTGGGCTAGAGGATCGGTTATCATTACTCTAAGATTCCCTCAGAAAAGTAAAGACCCTGGGACTTTTAAAGAAACGCAAAGCAGGAGGAAAAAGATTTAGCCTCAACCATCATCCACAGCGTACTTTCATAAAATGAACAACAACCCCCCAAAAAGAAAATGTTTAATATGAATTTCACAGAAAGTTTTATGCCCGATGTAATAAGCTGTTGACACGGAATTTTCGGTGAACTCTATATAATTTGAAATAAGGAAGACCTTTCCGTCCAGCTCTGCAGGTCTGCATTTAGCAGAATGTTCTACAAGCATTATGTGCTGTGGACAGAGGGAAAACATATTAGCAGTGGTGCCTATAATAAATACATGTCGTTTCTTGGGAAGAAACAAAACCAGAAGGGAAGCACCGCGTAGGGCAGGATCGAGAACAGAGGCTTCTCATTGGCACAATCTTTAAAAAGGATTTCTCCCTGACTCCAAAATTTGGCTAGACTGAAAAAAGCTAGTCACATTTTGAAGTCAACAATATCCTAACTAGAGCTGGAAATTTTTCTCAACGTGCTGATAACAAGTTGAAAGTTTCTTCCTCCTATCTCTGGCCAGAACGGTATTTTCTGATTCTTGCACAGGATAGGTGACACCCCTATTTCGCTGGACAACTAACAGGTACAGGGATGCATGCATTCCT